GATCCGTCGTTGATCTGCCTCTGCTGAATCCTGCTTGATGCTCTCCAACAATATCTGTTGTGTATTCCTCTAGTCTTCTCTGAACTATTTTGGAAAGTATTTTGTAGGTGACATTTAGGAGAGATATGCCTCTGTAGTTATTGCAGTCTTTTTTGTCTCCTTTTTTGTGAATTGGTACAACTAGGGCTTCCTTCCATTCCTTGGGTATTGTTTCTTCTCTCCAGACCTTGAGTATTAGTTTGTGGATTCTTTCTGCTAGACAAAAGCCACCTGCTTTTAAAATCTCTGCAGTTATACCATCCTCTCCTGGGGCTTTATTATTTTTTAAGCTCTTGATTGCTTCTTCTATTTCTTGTATGGGTGGTTCTGGAATCCAGGGGTGTACGGTCTGATAGACTTCTTCCTGTTCTTCCTCTTCCTGCTGCAGGTCACCATTTAGTAGCTCTTTAAAATATTCTCGCCAAACTCTCAGTCCGTCTTCCTTTTGGATTACAACTTGTCCCATTTTATTTTTGATCCCCACAGGTGAAGGTGTGTATCCTTTTTTGAAAAATCTTAATGCACGATAAAATTCTCTTGAGTTGTTTGCTGTTCGATCTTGTTCTGCTTTTTCCAGAATATTATTGATCCATTCTCGTTTTTTCTTTCTTAATAGTTTAACTGTTTCCTTGCTTTGCTCTTGGTAGCTATCTCAATCTATATCTTGTTTGTTTCTTAGCCAAATTCCCTTTGCTTGTCTTCTTTTCAAAAATGCCTCTTTGCATTCTTTATCAAACCAAGGTTTATTGTTTTTTCTTTCTTTTTTGCCACAAACTTCTTTGGTACATTCTCGTACGGTCTTCTTTATATTTTCCCATCTCTTTTCTATTGAATCCTCCACTTCTGCCTCTTGCTCCACTGTGTCTAAGGCTTGGAAACGGCATGACAATTTAAGCTTAAATTCGGTCCGGATTCTTTTATCTCTAAGTCTATCAATATCTATATTTTCTACTGATGGTACTCCTTTCCTCTTCTCTATTTGTATTCTTTGGTATAATTTGACTAGAACTAGGCTGTGGTCTGACCCACACTCTGCTTTTCTTATGCTACGTACGTTTTGTACTTGACTAGAATGTCTACAGTCTATCAATATGTGATCTATTTGATTTTTTACCTGACCATTTGGTGAGATCCATGTAGTTTTGTGGATGCCTTTTCTCGGGAAATATGTGCTCATAACTTTCAGGTTGCAAGCAGTAGCTAGGCTTAGTAGCCTTACTCCATTATCATTGCTGTCTGTGTGTAAACCATTTAGTCCTGCAACTTCCTTCCATATTTGTTCTCTGCCTATATTTGCGTTAAAATCTCCCATCAGTAATTTTGTGTCATATCCTGATAACTTTCCCCACTCTTCTTCTAACAGCTCATAAAAAGCGTCTTTGACGTCATCGTCTGTGTCCTCTGTAGGAGCGTAGGCACTCATTATTGATATATTCTTGAATCTACCTTTAAACCTAATATTGCACAGTCTCTCGCCTAGGGCTTCAAAACTTATCACAGCACTTGCTATCTTTTTGCTTACAGCAAAGCCTACTCCTCTTTGGTACCTTCCTTCATCATTTCCACTGTAGTAGATTACATAGTCTTTGGTGTTCAGCTTTCCTGCCAACGGCCAACGAGTTTCTTGTAGTGCCACCAAATCCATTTTATATATACCAAGTTCTTCTGAGAGAATGTCGATTGCGCCGGGTACTGCTAATGTTCTTGTATTCCATGTGCCTAATCTCATTGTCATTTGTGATCGCCATTGTCGATTCCTTTTATTCCGTCCATTCTCCGAGGCTTTGTGTTGGTGTTTCTGAACTTTGTTGTTTTCCGAGGTGAGTTGTTGGCCCGACGCTCAACCCCCACATATCCTTGGAGGACCGGGTTCGGGTTGTCTGACTTTAGCCTACCTTATCAGTGCCAAGCCCACCGAAAAGGCGTTTCCCCCCCTACACTACGGGGAAGTACCAGCGCAACCCTTGCTAATACCTTCGCTTCCACACCACTGGTGCTGGCAGTATAGTGCTTCCACTACTTGGCAGAAAAGGGGCTCTGCTTGGTATTAGCCATCGTTATGGGGGATTTTATGGGGTAAAAATTGGTTTTTCTAACTTTTGACCCTCAAAACACATAATTTTCCAATTTTTCTCTAAACCTTCTTAAAGAGCTTAAAAAACAAACAATTCAGTATATCAAAATATTTTTGTACGGTTATTGGTTACGGAGAAAACTAAAAAAATGGTAAATTAAAAATTCCCATGTTATTCTTATGGAGAATATTGTAAAATGTTGTAGTTTGCTTGTTTATGGATATCTTTTGATCAAATTTGGCAAATATATTCATTTAATACCAAGCAATAATTATTTTACTTAAAACACACACTTTATTAGATTCCTTGTAGCAGCAAACCTAGGTACTCGTTAAACCTAATGTTATTTAAATACAGTAGACTCCCTCTTACCGGACTCCTTGGGACTGAGGCCAGTCCGGATAACGGTTTTTCCGGTTAAGCCGACATTCCCAAAAACTCATTAAAATGGACCGTTTACGGTGATATTCTACTTAAATTTAGGAGAGCATTGTATTTAGACATGTGATCACTGGTATCAAATCTTTCCCACGGGAACAGTCGTTACAGTACCACCCACTTCCTGCCGATCTAGTCCGGTTAAACCAATGTGCCGATAATAATTGTCCGGTTAAAGAGATGTCATTTCCGTCGACTGTAGCCCGGTTAAACCAATGTCCGGTTAAAAGGTGTCCGGATGAGAGGGAGTCTACTGTAGATCAATTGAAAATCAATTTAGCCAAATGGAAATTTGCTTAGACGGCAGGTTTGCTGCGGCGGGGGTATTTATAATTACAACTGGAGTCGAAATTTACTTGTTCATTAATCAGCTTATTTCTATTTTTACATTTTTCCGTATAAATATACAATTCTTCCCAAGCATTCATTACATATCCTTTTTTACAATCCTTCAAAATACATAGATTATCCTCCGATTTTCCTATTGAGTGTTCATTTTGTAACAGATGTTGTGCGACATTTGATCTTTCCGGTTTATTGTTCCTCCATGCAGATATGTGGTTTTTGAAGCGGTTGACGAAGTTCACAGTCTGTCCAATGTAGAAGTTTTCACAATCGTTACAATTGATTTCATAGATGCCCAAAGCGTCGAATTTGTTACAATCTTCTATTTTTGGATGCAGTATTTTACTCAAGGTTTTCTGAGTCCTGTAGGCTATTGAAACTCCGTATTTCTTGAATCTGTTAGCCAATAGGATAAACGTAGGGACGCCATTCAAGATTCTTTTGTCATTCGCCTATTGGGTCCGATGATGATTGGAGTGTCCAATTGAAATCGATCACCACTTACCATCTTTTTTGTATATTTACCGTCTTGTTAGTAACAGTATAAGCTTAAATATATGTTTTAAGTGTTATAAGACGTTCTTTATTTACTTTCCATAAACTTACACTAATTGCAGTTTTTTTATGTTGATCAGAAAAAAATCTAGAGTTAAGTTTGGTCAATGGGATGCTTTTACTTTACACTAATTTTGTTCAACCTTAACAAAAGGAGTATAAACTTAGAAATATTAACTGGGTAGGGATGCTAATTTAGTGGCTTTGACTAAGAACTAAACCTACCTCAACACACCTTTATTTGCTTTTTCAGTCAGTTTAAAGACAATTCCCAAAATTCCTATCAGGGAAGCCTTTTTATCACCATTAACCACAAGACCCAAGCTACCTTAATAAGCCAGTATTTATTCACAAACAATTAAATATGTTTGATGCCTTTAGCAGAGTTAAACCTATGGAGTGATTCAAATTACTTATTGAAAATCACATCAACAAATAAATGTCCTGGAATTTTCCAGTACAGTGGCTAGCATGGATATTATTTTTACCCTGAAACTAAGACATTTCTAACAATTTAGAGGAAATCATGGCAGACCATTTAGTGACACCTCATTTTGAAGTGTTTACAAAAACTTAAAGAATGGTGAAAACCAGAGTTCGCTATCTCTTCTCTATCCAAAATGGTAGCCAATATTACAATTACGAACCAATTTTACCATTGATTTTCCACAACATTTGACGGGCTACCATTTTGGTCAGAGAAGAGATAGCGACCTCTAGTTTTCACCATTCTTTAAGTTTTTGTAAACACTTTAAAATGAGGTGTCACTTGAAGGGGGTTCACATTTAAAATATTTGAGTTACCCCCCAAATCCCCCCTTTTGGGGGACACTCAAAAATTTCAAAATCATGAAAAGAAACTTCCTGCTAAGATTGCACGACCCCCAAAAGGATATCTCTGTATATTTACTTGGAAAAATATTAGATGGGGGGGTCTTGACTTTTTATTCACCCTGTAGATAAGTCTTAAATTAACTTTAGAGTGATTCTTTGATTGAGGTCTAGATGTTTATGTTTTCGTTCTTTATTCTTTTACAGGGTTGGTACTAAATTTGGTAAATAAAACTCCCTGACTTTTCCAGGTTTTCCAGACTGATATTATACTTTTTCCAGCTATACCGTAAGTTGATATCGACTAATCAAAATCAAGAAATATTAGAAAAAATTTAAATATTTAACTTGTTTAATCGCTCCCAAATACAAAACTTGTTTCAATATACCTATCGATTCCTCCCCCGTACTCATAACTAACTATCAATATAAAAATGTGCATCAGTGCTTATGTCGTTCTTTTTGACATTAGTCATCACCCTGACAAAAACCTGTTTAGAGCAAAACGTAGCATATCTGTAAAAAAGTAGTCTTTCAGGAGAAATTCCAGAATTTTTTCATAATTCCTTGACTTTTCTAGGCCAACAAAATTCCCTAACTTTTCCATGTTTTCAAGGTTTTCCCTGACCGTACCAACCCTGTTTTATTACAAGTTTTAGTTTAGCTTGATTTTGAACAAGGAGTTATCTAGTAATATACATATTATTTCTGTTACAGGAATGGAGACTCCAACAAAAAATTATGTTGGTGAATTGCAAGAACATTGCCAAACAGCTCATATTGGTTTACCAGAATATTTGGATCAAACAGAAGGAAATATTTTTAAGTTTACTTGCAGGTTGCAAGATTCCGTTTGCTATGGCACTGGTAACTCAAAAAAGTTTGCTAAACAAAATGCAGCTAAAGAAATGTTAAAAACAATTAAGGATAAAAACATGTCATGTACTTTAACTGTAAAAAATCAAGAAAATGTAAATACAAATTCGATTTCTAAACTAAATGAGTTTTGCTCTAAAGGATCTAAAAATGCCCCATTGTATGCTGAGCTACCGAAACAAGGTGACCTTTTTGTATTTGAATGTACTGTAGAAGAATTCTCAGCAACTGGTCAAGGTCGTTCGAAGAAAGAGGCCAAAGAAATGGCAGCATTCAAAGTTGCTGAACATTTTGATGTTCACAAATGGCATAATGACCTAATCAAGTCTAAGGAGCGGGCAAAAGAAATAATGTCTCCAGTACAAGAACTATCCATGTTATGCCAAAAAAAGGATCTTGCTTCTCCAGTGTATGAAGCTAAAGAGAAGAAAGAAGTGAATATGTTATTCCAAGCAACATGTTCTATTGGCGAATTGAAGGTTGAAAGTGGATGGTCACATTCTAAGAAGGCAGCAAAAGTTGAGGCAGCAAAATTAATGCTGCATACTTTGAAGACTTGGACTCCTCATGGTTCTCCAGCAAATGGAGATGTGAAACCTAATGTGAAAAGAAAGTCAAATGAATCTGACTGTGAAATCACCCCTGAGAAAAAACCAGTTCTTGAACTATTAGACTAGTATTAGATTAAGATCTTGTTACTCTACTGTTTTTATTATTTTGTATCTGAATGGTTAAACATTTGTTTATTTTTGTTTTATACACCATTGGCATTTTGTAAGTTTTTTGTAAGAGAACTTTCCAAACACTGGTCTTGCTACTGAGTGAAAATTTAAAATAGTACGTTTTCATGTCCCTGGCCTTTTACTTCGTAGATACTGGATTTGTAGTTTATTATTATGTGTTTTGATATTTTTTGGGACGGGGGCAACATGTTACACACATTTATTTGGTTTTAAATAGGTTCTAGGTATTTTTTTTGTATTTTTAAAGTCTCAAAATTCACGACCATGACGTGTCCCTAGGGTACATTTTCCAACTTTCACGCTGTTTTTAGACTAATTATTCATTCCGAAATATATAAAGCCATATTTTTATGTCATCAATGGTTATTAAACTTACAAAAAAGGAGCATATTATAATTTTATTGTCATTGCAAACTGACTACCATGACAAAATAAGTCTGTCCCTAGATTTGGCGTCACGACCATTTGGGAAAAATTTTCAACTTTGGAGCACGACAGTGGCAAGCCTGGCGTCGATGGAGTCAGTTGGTTTGAGAGACTAGTTCGGGGTGTACGTTAGGATTGTAGTGCCGGTCGTTTCGAGTTGAAAGGAGGAATTACAAGATTAATAAAGGAAAGATTGTGTTTTTTGTAATTTTGGTGTGTCCATGACCGTACGTAGTCATTCGATGAAGTAGACATGGTGTTAATTTTTGTTTATAAGATATTTCAATTGCTAGATTAACCTAGAAGTCCACTTTGTATCCTCGAACATGAGGTGCAGGGCTACCGTCAGAACAGAGCCAAATAACACGTAATTTCACGACCAAAGTTTCACGACAATCGCGGGTTTTTTCACGACCAATCCAGCCTTATGGATTATAGTGTGTTTGGTCGTAACAATAACTTTAATATAATTGTAAATTGAACAGTTTAGTTAAATTGAAACACATATTTTTATTATAACTAACAGTATAATTGAAGGATTGCTTAGAAAGATTTAAATTATTCCAGACAATTCACGACCGTACCGCTTGTCCCTGACCATCACGTTTATGATTTCTATCATAACAATTTCAAAAATTAAAATATCGTCATATTTCAATGTTTTATACACAAAAGAAGCACACCTCTATACAAACATAACGATTTTTCGGGTCTCAGGTAAGTTTTTTCGTAGTTATACAAACTTAAAAAGATTTTATTGGCTTTTTTTTCAATTTTTTGAGTTTTTTTATTTATTTCTGGAAAGACCAAATATACCAAAAGCTTAGTGACCTTTTTATTGTATAATGGTCTTAAAAGTAAATTAGTTTATAGCAAAACATAGTTATAAAAATAATATTAACTATTTTTAATATTCATTTAAAAGTCCGTTATGGTCGTGACAGGATTTTGTGTTTTTCCACTAAAGATGCTCTTTTAAAAAATAACTACCAAAGATATTGCGTTACCATGGACATTTTATGAAACTTCAAATGCTAATGAAATAAAAAAAATAATAAAAGTTTTTAAAAAAGGGGAAAAAAATTTGCAAAGTGCTTTTCCTGAAAACGTACGTTTTTAAATTTTCACTCTACTATTTGTATCTTCTCATAAACTGTGTTTTAGATAAACATTTGGTATTTTATTTATTTACAGTACCTGGGGACCGAACTTTGCTCAAGAAATATCATTAGTAGGCCCCTATTCTGAAAACTCTGAGAGCAGTCTTTGTTCAATGTCATGTCCCCTCCCTCCCCCGCGCCACGCTGGAGTACTGACTACTTGAGACTGAAACAGCTGTTAGCTGACGCCGATTGGACTACTGTATACGAAGCTATAAATGCTTCAATAGCGTTTGAGAATTTTTTTGTTTTGTTAGTGTTACAGAGTTTTTTTAGATCAAAGTAAAGTAAAAAAAAATTACAACAAACAAGTTTTTAATAAAATAAAACCTTGGATGAATGATTTTATGTTCTAAGATCAAAAAAATAAATCATATTTTTAAGCTTATGAAGCGTCATCCAAACAATGAAAATCTAAAAAGACTTTTCAAAAAATATAGGAATTCTCTTCAAAATAAAATAAGGAATTTAAAAGAGGATTACTACAAAAAAAGGTTTGAAAAATGCAGTAGTAATTCGAGGGAAACGTGGAAAATAGTAAATGAGTTAACAGGTCAGTCAAAGAAAAAAGATGACGCTCTTAGATTAGAAATAAATGGTGTACTGACTGAGGATTCATTGGCAGTTGCGAATGAATTTAATAACTATTTTTTAGAAATTGTTGAAAATCTGAAAATGAACGATCATACATCTCAGGTTGATCTACGTTTATTAGAGTATAGAAACACAAGTTCCCCAGTTCATTTCAAGTCAAAACAATGTTCATTGATCCTGTTTTCCCTGCAGATCTTTTAGCTGTAATTAACACATTAAAAAATAATACATCTACTGAAATTGATGGCATAAATGCAAGCTTGATAAAGGAAATTTTTCCGGAAATTACTAATGTTCTTTTATTTGTCATTAATTTTAGTTTAACAACTGGAGTTTTTCCAACAAGTTAAAAAAATGCAGTAATAATACCAATTTTTAAGAGTGGAGTAAAGTCGAAATGTAGTAACTATCGTCCGATATCTCTGTTGTCATGTTTCTCAAAGATATATGAAAAAATTATGAAGAACAAATTATTAGTATTTTTAGATAAAACAAATTTTTTTAGTGGAAATCAATTTGGATTTAGAACTGCTCACTGAACATGCTTTGCTAAATTTTATGACAAATGTTAATGAAGGTGTAAATGAGGGGAAAAAAGTGAGTGGGCTTTTCCTTGACATAAAAAAAAGCGTTTGACACAGTTGACCACACCATTCTGCTGGACAAGCTGTTTAATATTGGTATTAGAGGTGTTTCCCATGAGTGGTTTAAAAGTTATCTTTCTGACAGGAAACAATGTGTTCGAATTAATTCTATTCTTAGTGAAATGGGAACTATTAAGAGTGGGGTGCCTCAAGGATCTGTTAGGGGCAACATTATTTATTGTATTTATTAATGATATTTGTGAAGGTAAATTTAATGGTAAGCTAACCTCTTTTGCTGATGATACAGCTTTATGTTACTCTGAACGCGATTGGAAGTCAGTTCAACATGCGATGAATGGAGACCTTGAGGCACTGAAATGGTGGTTCACTGTCAATCGTCTTTTACTGAGTGCTGAAAAAACCAAATACATTAATTTTAGCCTCATAAAATCCTTTAATTTTACAGATCCTATTAAATTTAAATGTACACTTTGCTTGAGTAGACAGACAACCTGCATGTTAAACTGTGCTACTGTAGATCAGACTGATAGAATTAAGTATTTGGGACTTCATGTAGATGCAGAACTTTGCTGGAAAATTCATATCAAAAAGCTCAAAGATAAAGTCAACAATTCAATAAGATATTTTTATTTTTTAAGAAATCTAAGTAATACTCAAATTTTGCGTATGTTATATTTTGCTTTGATTCAAAGTAGGCTAGAATACGGCTTGGTTTTCTGGGGTAGTACTTATGACTCTTAAAACCATTATTTATTCAACCGAAACATGCTTTGAGATTAATATCATATAAAAATAGATTTGAACCTTCAAAACCTCTTTTCATTCAGCACAAAATCTTTCTTTTAAAATATTTGTATGTTTTTAAAGCTTCGAATCTCTTTTGTTCAGTTTACAAGAAAATACCCAGGAATGAAAATGAATATATACTTAAGCTCAGAAATCCTAACCAGTTTTTAGTTTCCAAGCCCAACAACACCTTTTTTACAAAAACATTTGGTTTTATAGTACTAAAATTTTTCAAGAAACTCCCTGAAAATGTACAAATGTTAATAATCAACAAAAAAGTGTTTTTAAATAAGGTAAAGAAATGGCTTTCACAATTGGAAGATATTGATGAATTATTTATATTATTAAATTAGAATCTTAAATGAGAATCTTATTTTGTATTTTTAGCAGTTAAGGACGCACTTTGGCGGGCTATGCCACTCAGGGTCTATACATTGTATGTAGTGTGCTATGACGGCCCTTGGGTTGGGGCTATCAGCCGCCTGGTGGCACTAGTGCAGTGCGTGGTTTCGAGTTATCAAACCAGAGATAACAAACATGATAAATAAGAATCAAACATATGTGGCAGGTGTTTTGAATAATCATTTGTCTTTCTCATTTATTGTTTTTAGGTTTAGATTTCGAATGAGACCATTGTGTTGTTTACTAGTATTGTTTTTATATCTATCTGATCGCTCTGTGTATACATTAAATTTATAAGTAAAGGAACCTCAACCACAGGCTTTGCCTAATGAGGCCCTAATTATTTTCTCAGATTCAAATTTTAAAGGACACTTTTATTGTACATACAGTATGGTTGTTTTTGTGCTTCAGATCACTGTAACTTGTCTTTTGTCAGCCTGGTGAGAACAATGTACTTTTTATTTCATTTCAAGTCTATTTTTATTACAACCAAGTTGTTTTTTACTTTCTCCCCCTATACCATAGTATATGGAGAAAGTATTGTTTTCGTCAAAATTTTTGAGTTTGAGTTTTGAGTGGATATATTTGTTTTGGGTCCCCCTGGACCCAAAAAAGTGGTTTTCGAAGTGATGTCTGTGTGTGTGTGTGTGTGTGTGTGGGTGTGTCTGTGTGTCTGGATGTGTACAGAGCTAGGGACTACACCTGTGGTCCGATTTCGATGAAATTTGGTATGTAGGTTCTAATCCATGGTATCTCCAGGCGTTTTTTTCATTTTTTTGAAATTTTGATTTTTAATGGGGATTTTCCCATAAAACCCCATAAAAAACCGGAAAAATCGAATTTTCTCAAAAATGGCCTGAACGATTTTGATAACAAAATTAGTATGTTGTAGCCCTTTAAATTCTGGACAAAATGGTACAAATTTCATTTCTCTAAAAATTACGGTTCAAAAGTTATGGTAAATTATGTTAATTTCCCATAAAAACCCCGTAAAATAAAAAAAAATAGGATTTTAGAATAAAATTCCAGTTTTAATTTAACATAGTAT